GTGACTTGATAGAAGAGCAGTAAATAACAGTCAAGAGGCTGTGTGACAGTTTCAATCATTTGCTTGTACTTTGTAGTTGGAATGCACTGTGTTCTTTTTAAAGATTTGAAAAGAAGGCTATTGATAGGTCAGTCCCTACAGGCCAGCCGCTATGGCACATGTGCCTTGTGATGTGGGGGGCTGCTGTGTGTCTCTCAAGCAAAGTGCTAGAAGCCGCACACTTGCGGACCACTTGCAGGCTATCTGCAGGCTGATTCCAAGCCAGGCTCTGGGCTGGACGAGTGCTATAGCCCAGATGTGACTGTGGTCGTGCCTGCATTAGGGAAAGAAAAAAAAAAGGCGGGGTGTGGTGGTGCTTTTACCAGAATTGAATGCGTTTTAAAATTGGAGAAGAAAAAACTGGAAGAGAGCTGCAAAGCATTGTTCTTGCTGTTCAGAGGACAGACCCAAGACCGTTATTTGTTTAGCATGCCTTGATCCAAAATAGCCGGGTTATGTTACAAATGGCATTGGTTTCTGAATTGAAAGACAAGCTTTTTTTTTGTTCGTACAGAGACCCCAAAGCCGCCTTACTCCCGGTCCACCGCCAATCTATGTCAGGGAAAAAAAAAGGCTTGACTTGTTCTTATTTTATTTCGACACCTGTTGTTTTTCTGTGGGAGAAGTTGTTTGTGGGCGTGGCATCACTGAGGTAGGTCCACAGCAAAATGTGACAATGTCCGTCATTGTTATTCACAACAGAGGGAGTCTGTCACAGCTTTCTAAGAGAGGATGCTGGTAGCTAAATTGGATTTCTGACTGAATGAGCAATGGGCGACTCGGGGACGGCCTAGTGAAAGTTGAGCCACCATCCTTTTGTGGAGATGTATGCCACTTGTAAATGCGATGAGTGAATTGCTATGATGTGGGTTCGCCATAGCGAAAGAACGGTTACGTCTTGCTTCGTAATTTCTTCTGAGTTTGAAGGATCAACATGTATGTATTGATTTTAACCTGATCTAGTAAAATTGAAAGAGATCAGACTGCAAATGTTGTTTTTATATCAAAAAAGGTTTGACAGTATGCTCCAGCTCACCTGCGAGCCAAATGAAGACAAGCAGTCAAGAAAATGGATGAAGAAATCCTAACATGTTCAATGGAATGTTCTCAGTTAAATTTTAATTACTGTACTGCCAAATGCCCACTCTGGGTTAGTTCTGGATGACGCCTCTGTCCCAGCATTGGCAGTGAAAATTTCTTTTAAGGCTGACTAAATTTGCAGGGTAATTTTTCTTTGTGTATAAATTATTGGGATTTTACGCCGTCATCAGTGTGTGGATTCTTGACAAAATTAAGAGAAGAAAAGATTCTCGCGGGCCGGATTTGGCCCGCGGGCCCTTGGATTGACATATGTGCTTTAAATAAAGAATCCAGGTTGGCATCTGCACAAACAAGTCAGGATTCTTTTTTGGGGAAATTTGCCACATTCGTTTTCCTTGTTCCACTGCGCAAAGCAAGAAGCAGAAATCATCAGTTGTTTTGGCATGTGAGAAAAGGAATGAGCCGTTCATGTGACTTGATAGAAGAGCAGTAAATAACAGTCAAGAGGCTGTGTGACAGTTTCAATCATTTGCTTGTACTTTGTAGTTGGAATGCACTGTGTTCTTTTTAAAGATTTGAAAAGAAGGCTATTGATAGGTCAGTCCCTACAGGCCAGCCGCTATGGCACATGTGCCTTGTGATGTGGGGGGCTGCTGTGTGTCTCTCAAGCAAAGTGCTAGAAGCCGCACACTTGCGGACCACTTGCAGGCTATCTGCAGGCTGATTCCAAGCCAGGCTCTGGGCTGGACGAGTGCTATAGCCCAGATGTGACTGTGGTCGTGCCTGCATTAGGGAAAGAAAAAAAAAAGGCGGGGTGTGGTGGTGCTTTTACCAGAATTGAATGCGTTTTAAAATTGGAGAAGAAAAAACTGGAAGAGAGCTGCAAAGCATTGTTCTTGCTGTTCAGAGGACAGACCCAAGACCGTTATTTGTTTAGCATGCCTTGATCCAAAATAGCCGGGTTATGTTACAAATGGCATTGGTTTCTGAATTGAAAGACAAGCTTTTTTTTTGTTCGTACAGAGACCCCAAAGCCGCCTTACTCCCGGTCCACCGCCAATCTATGTCAGGGAAAAAAAAAGGCTTGACTTGTTCTTATTTTATTTCGACACCTGTTGTTTTTCTGTGGGAGAAGTTGTTTGTGGGCGTGGCATCACTGAGGTAGGTCCACAGCAAAATGTGACAATGTCCGTCATTGTTATTCACAACAGAGGGAGTCTGTCACAGCTTTCTAAGAGAGGATGCTGGTAGCTAAATTGGATTTCTGACTGAATGAGCAATGGGCGACTCGGGGACGGCCTAGTGAAAGTTGAGCCACCATCCTTTTGTGGAGATGCTGGTGGAGTGCCATTCATATTTCCTAGCTCCTTCAGAGCCACTGAGACCCATCTTGGACAGCTCACAATAAATGTTTAATCCTCCTGCTACTTTGAGTAACAAGAACGCGCCTTTAAAGAGTTAATTTTCTCAGGCCTCTGCAAGTTTTGGTACAACTGCACGACTTTACTTAACCCTGGGAACTCCTCCACTAACTAGGGGCAGAGCTTAGTTGAAAAAAAGCTGTTAAAGCAGGAAGCATGTAAGTAAAAACGTGTTTAAAAAAAAACTTCATTCAAAGCAAGGTTCCGGTTATCAGTGATGCTGGAAAACAGAACTACAAACTTTAAAGAAATTATTTTAATCTGAAGTGAAACATGTCTACACTGAAAAAAATCCATAATACAGTATGCATTCATCTGTTCATTAATGGCTATAATAATAATCATTATTATTATAATAACTCCAATCCTACGGAGGTCAAACTTGGTGTACGTGTGTGTACATGACCAATAAAAATACTTCTTCCTCTGTGTTAAAAATGCTATTGTGTATGAAAGCTGTGGGCCAGAAATTGACCTCGGAATGCTTGCAACTTTGTTGTATTGTTCCAGTCTTATTTGTCATTTGACAGTTCACTCTATATACCATCATCATTAGATCCTTTAATCATGTACAGTTGTTTCTTATATTTTATTTATTATTTTTTTACAACTTTCCCCGGCAGGGTAGTGAATTTACCAGCCCCATTTGCCATTTAACTTGCCCGTGGAAGTCGGGCAGTCATTATTATTGATCCATGTAATATCTTGGTGGAACAACTCACCATAGGATGTTATGCCCTGCTCAGTACACTGATGCTGTTTATGGCCTCACTTGACTGCATCCCGACAATATTTTCTTGCTTCCTGCTTTCTGAAGGATTCTGAAATTGCCTGCTCATAAAACAGCGAAGACATTAATTGACAGCCGGTTCTGCAAAATCAATCCAACCTCTGTGATGTGCGAGCTCTCCGGATTTCACAAACGTGAGAGAACATTTCTGCTCTATTTTATTTTTGTCCTATTTCAATGTGTTTGTGGACCAGTCTCGTACCTGATAGATTTCGGGTCGCAAAGGCAAAATTATGTCTGGAGACATTTTTAAGCCATTGTTATTTTGCTGTGCAAATACAGATACCGAGCTTCTTTCGCCCAGTCGAGTGAAAAGAATGAATTATTCAATAGCAAGCAAGCTTTCAGATGGCCATTTGTGTGCTTTGATCTCAGAATCAGGAGGTTGCATGAATGCCTGTATTGTCACGTTATGTTTCCACTGTGTGTGAATTACTGAAATCTTTGGCCATCTGCTAAAGTTTACAGGCTCATGGCACAAGCAGGCTCGAGCTGCAAATCCCCAGATGTTTATTTCCCCGCAGAAAACACGTGGCTGCGTGCACTAAGGCTGACCTAACCCTAACATTCAAAATAAATTGTCAGTCACACCAAATTAACAGTGGGGTAGAAGCACCGAATTTGATTTGCAGCTCATACAATATGTGTAATTTTCTTTCTCGGGATACTCTTACTCTTTAGGATGTCAAAACATAATATAGAAGAAATGTCAGAAGGATCTGTGCTGCAATTGGTCCCGAACATTAAGCATTTGGATCTGTTCCTACCACGTAACAGAATATTGAAGTTTGAATGACATGTTAGTCGTGTTTTGTCGTTTTCCTACAGCCACAAAAAAAAAAAAAAAGAATCGTAAAAGCACCAGGCCTGGATGTGACTGCATTTCAGTTTGTAGTTACTGCCTGCTATGTCTCTTCTGATGGTGTTAATTGTACAATATAATACATCGTAATTGATCATATTAGCATTTGTGCAGTTTGTTCAGGTATCATGGTGAGGATATCCGACAATGAAGTGAAGGCACAAAAATGTTGCCGTGATTTGTGAAGGGTGGTTGCACATTTCATAGAACAGTCGATCAGAACCCTGGCATTGGTTAGCTACAGCTGGGCACATAATTAGAGCCCCCCCCAACCTATAATTTGTCTAATAGTTTTGTTTGGCGGCATGTTATTAACATATGAAAGGGCTAAGCAGGGGTCATGTGCATTGTGACAACAATTAGAGCAGACCTGAGGGCGCAAGAATGTTTAGAGCCATTGTTAATTGGAAATCTGTACAAAGATGCACATTAATTAGAATCTAGTCAGATCTGCTCTCTTTGAAACCCATTTCATCCATTTGCTCCTCTGCAGTAGAACGAACAGCTATGTCTTTCATTGTGTTAGGTTTGGAAGAGAATGAGATTGATTTGCATTAATTTGAGAGGCTGTGCTTCTGGAGCATTTTTTTTTTAATGCTAATACCGTATGGTGTTTTCATGCAAGAGCAGCGTCTTGTATGTTTACCAGTATACATATCTGGTTACAAAGCCAGCCACATGTATAAAAAGGGTAATATTATACCAATCGACGTAGAACAATTTATTTTCAGTCCAAAATCTTTTTATGATCAAGCACACTCAAAAAAAGACCCAAAAAAAACTATGTACAGCCATTGTCAACTTAGCGCTACAGGACCTCAGCTCTTACCAGTCCATGTTCTTGCAGGTCGGAATGAGCTGATTGCCAGATATATCAAGCTTCGGACTGGAAAGACGAGAACTCGCAAGCAGGTAAGAAGAAGGGGACTGTCTCCATTGCATGGGCGGACTAATCCCCTGTCACAGCCATGTCGCATGAACAGATGTCCCTGGATTTAGACATCTCTGAAATTGTCACTCTTAGTTCCACTTTGAAACACACATAAGAGCCTTAGCTCTAGTGGATGTGCAGAGGAAAACATCAATTGGTTTCCCCTTTTACAATTCTATGACCTCATGACCACCCTTTGCTCAAAATCTAGCCTTTAATTTAACACGATAATTCACTTGTACATGATGCATTCATCAGCATCAATGAGACGTCATGTAAAAAAGAAGTAACCACAGTTACTGAAAATATTCCTTGTCCTCGTAAATGAAATCACAGAGTTCATGCACTTGGCTGTGGTAGAAGTCTTTATTAATGGGGAAAGTCGAGGCCTTAATATTTTGGTACCATATCGAACCAAAGAGTGTTTGTTCTGTCGTCTGTGTCGGGGGAGCACATCCTGCTCTCAGCAGGCTGCACGCACAACTCTGACCACAGATGAGCTCATATTTCTGAACCAGAGTGAGGAAATACAGACTATGCTAACATCTGTGAATGACTTGGGATGCACCGATATGACTGTTTTCAGATCGCATACAAGTGCGCTTACAAGTACAAGTATTTACGTTTCTGTACTCACCGATACCAAGTACCGATACCGATTCCGTCTTGCAGTTGTGATTTTTTGTAATTTTCAAAAACACTTTGCTTTATGTGGTGTCTAAGTCAACTCCCGCAGTCGTAGCATGACCGCTTATGTAACCGTGAATTGTGGTCGCACTGAACTGCGAGCAAGCATTAATTATGCAACCAAACTAGTAGAAAATGAACGACGCTGAAGCAAAGAAAACACGGCGACACTGTTTCATCCAAAAACTGCAAATTAGTTAAATGCCCCAAAAGTGTGTCTACATCTGTAAAATATCACCTTGAAAGTAACACAAATCACAATTTAGGCTCCTAAAAATGAACAAAAGCTGTTCTGGAGCACATTAAATGATAAAATACAGAAAACGAGCAGAATATGACCACTTCATTATCAACCATCATTATCAACGGGGCTTTGTGACCTTAAAGTGCCACGCATACATGGTTGACACGGCTCCAACCCGGAAGGTATTTGTCAGGTTGCTGACCTGGTATCAGTGCATTGCATTTGTACGATCCGATAATCGGTATCGGTGCAGCCCTGTAAATGACAAGATTCGTTGCTCTAAAATAAATGTTGCTAATCTTGAATTGAGGGCTACAAAGGACATGTCATGTTTGTGTGTGAAGAAAATCAACCAAAATGATTGTTTAAAAAAACAAAACAAAACAAAACAGTTAATTGGTAAAGATGACGTGAGGGTCTCATTGACCTCATCTAAACAGGAAATTTCCAAAATTTAGAAGCTGCACAAAGTGACTTTTGGTCATCATGTATGAGTATTGATTGATCAGACCGAAATGAGGAAAGACTTTTTTTTTGTACCTCGGCTTTTCAACTCAGCCTAGGGCCTTGCATACAGTGGATATGAAAAAAAGCACTTTCCTTCTGGAAAAGATGAAAACATTCTTCAAGTGAGTTGTAAATTTTAAAGGTCACATTCATGTTGGAAAAAGTTTTGAAATTATTTATCTTGGCTTCATTTTTGGTAGAGCGCAAAAACTTTGAACAGGGCTGTGCTGACATTTCATGTCCACTCTATGGATGTAGTAAAAAAAAAATGAAATCTATTACATGAACAGACTTTTGGAGGCAACCAGTGGCACTGTACTCAAACCAAAGATTGTTACTGGACAATCAGAAGCCTGAAGAATGCCATTTCCAAAAAAACGATTTAGAATGGAAAAGGGCAGTCATCAGTCATACAAGTAGACTGACAATCAAGAGGAGTTTGTCCAGATTATCCCTCGTGTATGTAATGTTCACAAAATACTAAAGAAAAGCCCTGGGCAAAAGTGACCAAAGAGTATGTTTTCAAATCCAATACAAATGGACGTTTTAAATAGAATACTTGTCGATTTAGACGTGACCTCGAGAGGAACACAAAAGAAGAGTGTTTGTTTTTCTATACTGATTCCAAGGTTTGTTGAACCAAACGCATGGCCTCGATTTAATGGTGCTGTTTGTCATTGTAGACAAGCAAAAAATACTCTTTTGTTCTTTATAAGCAGTCAGGATTTGTTGAAGATTTCCATTGATGTATCATTGGCGTATTGGTAGCAATGACAGAGCCTATAGTGCTTTACATAAATAAACACACAAGAACAGATATCAGCATTTTAACGACGATTCGACTTTCCTCTGGTTAAATTGTTTTGAATGTTAACTTAGGACGTTATGAAATTGATTTTTGCAACATCGGTTTGTGCTTGAAAATGAATCCATTTGTCGTGTGTGCATATTGACAATAAATTAATATATTACATTGAATAGCGTGCCATAGAAAATAGTCATTCTGAAATGAAACTGAACGTTTCATAACAAATCTGTTGGTGTGTATTTGTTGATGTTGAGCACTGTAGCAACAACATAATGCAGTTATTGTGCTTCATTTGTTTGGGGGAATTTTACACATTACAGTGATCCCTTGACTTAGGAGTTTCATTTATTTTCCGTGACCACGCTCATAAGTCATAACACTCATTTTGCAAATCATCTTTCCTTATTCAAATGAAATGGAAATGTGATTATTTATTCTTGCCCCACATTGCGCTCCCTCTGGTGTGCTCGCCTTGGCCAAGAGAGGGCTGTATAATGCAGACGTACAGATGTACACAAAGTGTACGTTACAGGAATAGTCATTTTTCAAAGAGGATCAAAAAGATATGTCTGTGAACATTTTTCAATTATCTGTCTACATGTGATGCTGCACTGCGGGATTAATGTTATTCGTTAGCCCATCTACGGTGTTTTGTATTGTGTGCAAGCATGAAGCTATAGTGAATGTTCCTAAGGTAAAGTTAGGTGGTTGTTTTAACTACACACAAAAAAATTTATTTTTTAAATGCTATTTTTTGATGGTAAACTTCAACTGGAAGTGGTGAATACAGCTTGTGCCCTCAACTTTGAACAATCGTTCACTAGCTTCCAAATATCTGAGTTGAATTGCTATTTAAATGCTCGTATCGAACATTTTTCCTCACAAGTCAAAGCAAAAAAATCCTCCAAGCGATGGCTCATAGCTTGAAAAGCTGACATCAAGCCTCTTGTAAGCCAAGATGCGGCTGTGCAATAGCTACACATTAACGCAAGTATGCTAAGGAACCTGAAAATGTATCTTTCTCACCTCCGTACGAAAATGTTTTCAAATTTTTGGACTGTCAGTCTTCCTGTTGTGTCAACCTCAATAGGTAATCATTGCCACTGGTGATCAGAGACCTTCTTTGACTCACACCTGCTAGCACATTAGCGTTAGCGATGATTGTATTAACAATGCCCTCCATCTTTTGCACAGGGAGTAAACTTGGCTGGTGAAATGCCTCATCCAGTTCCCATAAGAATATGAGACTAACCAATTGACATTCAGTACACAGCGGCTCACATCTGTGTGCTCTTAATGGGTTCTAAAGGGGCCTGCATCCTCCTTAATCAGCTCACTTAAGTGACGACGACACACAGGATAATGCTTTATTGGATGCTAGCACGGTGTGCTGTGTGGAGATGCCACTGACCTGCACCTTGTCTCCCTGACAAAGACATGTGTGTTCTCGTTTTGTTTATTTTCCCCTTTTCTCTTTTGAATGGAGGTGTCTAGTCACATACAGGTCTTAGCAAGAAAGAAAGTTCGAGAAATCCAAGCTGCCATTAAGGTACGTCTGGCTTTGCCCAGTTACAGGGGGCTTTTCATTGCTATGGTTACAGGCTCTTCCTTTGTTTTCCTCCCCTCCCCTACCCCGCAGGTGTCTAGTCACATTCAGGTTCTAGCCAGAAGGAAATCTCGTGAGTTTCATTCCAAGCTAAAGGTATGCGCTTTTCTGCTTCTGGGCTTGTTTGTTGCTGTGCGTCTGAACTAAACTCCCTCTTCCCACGGGGACTTAACTAATACCTGATGCCCATCCCCCCACCTACTAACCCAAATCTTCTGTTGACTTGGTCCTTTTTCTCTCGAACAACACCCTTTCACCTCCATCTCACCTACTTACCATATGTTTTGACTAACATCAATTTGTTTATTCGTGTTCTAAGAGCAGTTGTGTAGCCCATAAAATGTCTAACTGATGTTGTTTATTTATGTATTTATTTTGACAATGTACATAATAATCATATTAATAAAACATTATCTGCTTACATTGCCAAAACGAATCGATCCCCAAAGTATGGCAAAATATTTTTGGAATCTGTATTAGAGGAACCTATTTGATAAGCTCAAGGACTAAGCATCTGACCCAATAAAGGGTGACTCACTCAAAAGTTATTAGACACTTCCTTTTTTCTATTTGGTCTTATTCGGACTGACTGAGGTCACTGCTCAGGCTTTGCAAATCGCTGCCTTGCGAGAGATTTTTCTGTCCTTGACAGCCTTCAGTCCTATGCATCTCTCCAGCTAGTTTCCCTGGCTTTCCACAAACACATGCTCTCTTGAGTTTTGGCGTTTTCATCCGTGGTGATTTTAGCAGGCTTTCTGCCACATCAAGTTGTCAAGAACAGATACTCTTGCACATTGATAGCGTAAATTATACGATTAGTGGAGCAGTGCGAGGGCCATAAAGCTTCTCAAGCTGGCGCGGAACTGTCAGGGACAAAACTTCTTGCCAGGCGACAATTTTGCAACGCTGCTCCAGTGTCAATTGTCGACTACGCTTCCCAAAAACTGCAAAGCCTAAGATGTTAAATGCGGAAGGTCTCACGTCTGTCTGAATGACACTTGAAACGAAAAGGAAGTGTATCGTGACTTTTGAGACATCTTGCACGCTGATGTTAATGTGGTTGAAACTTAGCTTACTTATGATGCGAAGCTACCAGATTCCAAACTGACTCGATGCTAAACGGCTTTAATGAGGGAAAGCATGCTGGCGTTGGCTGTTTAGCGATTGGCTGAGGCCGTTGCTCTTTCAAGGGGCCTGGCAGAACAGGGGATGTGTGTGTGTAAATGCATCAATACAAGTGGAGGACACCTTCATTTGACAGTGTAAGCTAACTTTCTTCTTCTGTCAAGGGCTCAGCAGTTTGCATTGAGAGCGCAGAAAGGCTGACAAGCCGGCAGTTTGGTGAAATGCGAAATGCCTTCTGCTTTCTGTCCTCCCGTCAACCTGTTGATAAATCGACAATGCTCTCACAGTACTGTGGCTTGCACTTGCTGTCTTTCCTTTTTATTTTTCTTGGGCGGTCACATTAGATTTTCTTTCATTTGTGCTGACATAAAAAAATTTTTAAAAAATCGCCCAAGTGCACTAATGAGAAGGGCATATGAATTTGAACTAAGTCATTATTCAAGAACAAATTAAGTTAACGAAGAACGGAAAAAGAAAACTTCCATTCTGCCTTTTTTTTTCTCCTTCGGGTGTCGTACTATACATTTTGACTTTCACACTTTGTTGTTTCACTCCCAGTATTCCATACCCAGTAATGACGCCTCATTAATCTGTGGTGTGTCTATGTGTAAAGAGCCACAGAGAGCGAGCCAGCCACATGAATGCCTGCTCTTTCAGAGTCACAGGCAGCTCTGTGAGGAAAAACAGACGGCTTTTGTATGAATCCCTGTCTTTTCTCATTTAAAGCAAATTAGACTCCAGTGGCAAAGAGATCTACAAGTGTGCCCTTCCTTTTTTTTTTCCTTCTTTTTTTGTGGGTGAGGGTGGCGGTGGGGGTCATCAATGAAAACCTGCTGTTTCTACTCATGTCTACGGCACCTCAGTAAAATGAGTCATTATGCCACTGTTGTTTTTGTTTCAAGTAATGACAAGCTGAGAGCGGGGCATTTGCATTGAAGCTGGAGCTCATTTATTAAATACAAAAACACCTTCGTTTTCTCTATGTTGAGTTTTGGGCATTACTCTTCAGGCCTCACTGGCTCTGAGACTATATTGCCCAGAATAGCATTTACATTGTTAGATTGGAGTATCAGAATGAAGGATCAAATGTTTGCTCCCGTTGAAATAAACAAATAAATGTCTGATCTAGAAACAAAATTCGCTCTGGATAAAAGGAGGGAAAAAAATGTGATCCTTACATTTTCTGATGGGGTTTTGCACTTCTGGTGATGGACATTTTGCCCAATACAACTGATAAATTACTATTATTTAAGTTTGTATGATTCTGCACTAATTTGGCAATACGTTTATCGGACAATTCCAAATAGAAGAAAACTACAAATGAGTATGAGGGCCACTGTAATGGAAAAAAACAAACCCTTTGAGAATCAGTCACATTCATAGAAATACAAAAATATAGTTTCAATATTAAAGGGGGGGGGGGTTACAAATTTTATGTGTCCACAAAAGCACTCCCTGATTTCAGTGTAACCCGAATACTCCTTTGTGGAAAAAATATCATCATTGACCAAAGTAAAAACAATCGGTGTATGCACAGGACTATTTACAGTTGGAAAAAAAAAAATCACTGTTTATTATGTTCAATTTTACAAATGTAACCTTGTTGGTTTGCGTTTAGGTCACGAGTATGGTAAGTATGGGCTTTTCATCTGTGCAGCTATTTCTGCTTTTTTAATTATTTTATATATTTTTTGCTGGGCTTTGCTCTGCCATGGCTAGTTTTTTTTGCCTGTGATTTAGCCGTAGTGAGAGGATTTTCCAATGCATTGGTCCCTCTGTGTGCTGTCCTGCTGTTGTCACACTCATCGGCATGGGCTGTCAGCATGCTTACACGATAGCATCACTGTGTCTGCACGGCTTCTCCAGCTCAGGTCTGCACGCCCCTGCAATTAAGAATCCGGCTTTTACAGCTTCAATTTAAATAACTTTCTGAATGCACGTGATGATCAAACCAAATCTAGAGGCGCTGCTTCAAGCTGTCACTGTGATTTGGTGTTTCAATTTGAACATCTCCATGGCATTTTAATTACATCTAGTCCAGAGATTAAAAGAGATTCTTAGTTCATAGGAATCTGCGTCCTTCAGTTTTACTACATAAAACTGTTCACAAAGTTTGGAGGTGTTTTAACATGCCGATTGATGAAGCCTTGATAGAAGTGCTGCTGCCAATGGATGTGTTTTATTTATTTATTAATTCCTTATTTTTTCTTTTTTTTTTCGTCAACATGCAAAGTTTTGCTCAAGTGCATACCACCACTTGTTACTGTGAATTGGAATCCTTGTGTTCATTGTTCGGGGCACTCCATTTGAAAAAGAAAAAAAGCTAACACTTGAAAAGCCATGCTCTTGCATCCTCTTCTAACCTGCTTGTGTTGTTTGAGAGGTCACTAGAGCTTTCAGTGTGCTGACTGGGTTGTGGCTGTTGCTGCCTACTGTATGCAACATGCGCTATACCAATCCGCCCCCTTCTTTCTGTGCGAGTACTAAGCCTTTTGTGTCTGATATTAAAGGACCAGTCGGTAAAGGACAAAGCCCTCCAGAGCATGGCCTCCATGTCGTCAGCTCAGATCGTCTCTGCCACGGCTATTCACAACAAACTGGGACTGCCCGGCATCCCGCATCCAGCATTCCCCGGAGCAGGGGTGAGGGCCTCGCACCCAGACACCCCGCTTATTGATCAGTCCTGTTCAGCTTCACGCAGGGCAGCCATGAGGCCCGTGCCGGGGCCAAATCACATTACACACCAGGCTTTGCTCAACTGCCCCAATCAGATAAGCACATGATCAGAAGGAGTGCTGGTGGAGATAACTTCTTTCCCAGAACACAGAGCCATTTTCTTCTTGCCACAAAAGCGGCTCACAATTGGATGTTCTTTGTTGTTTGTTGTCTATTAATATCTTATTCATGATTGTATCTAATTCTTTAGATATGGCAAGGGATGATATCGAGTCAGCCAGGATCCTCTCAAGAGTAAGTGTGCTACATTGCTCAAAAGGTTAGGTTTAAACAAGGTTATCCACAGGTACAGCTATGGGGCGGAGGTGGGGATGCTGGTACCCTGCTGTTAAAGGGAGAAAAACTCACAATTTTCACAAAAATAAACTGACAAAAGTCATAGTCGATACAAATTTAAGAGAACCTAAAGAGCTAAGAATTACCAAGAAAACAGCACTCCCTACTGTGGGGCTGCTTTGCTACATCAGGCACAGGGTGTCTTGAATCTGAAGACTATCAAGCCATTCTTGAGAGCAATGTTAAAATTAATGTCAAAAAGCTTCGTGTCATTCTCAGTTTATGGGTCTTTGAACTGCACACTGACCCAAAACATACTGCTAATTACACCCTAGAATCGCTAAAAGAGAGTTCGGAGTTGGTCTTCTTTGAGTGCTGATTCAAATTCTTTTGAACATTTGTGGAAGGAGCTGCAACATGCCATCTGGAGAAGGCACCATAGTAGTTTGCCCACAAGGAACGTCCCAAAAACTGCTGCTGACTGGTGAAAAAAAAAAAGTTGCACAAATTGTGTGACTGCAATGATTGCCCCAAAATATTAAGGGTATGATCATACTCCCTTAGGCTAGTTTCATGAATTTGTTTTCTTATAATAATTTGGTTGGACCAAAAAAATTAAGCAAAGACTGATTTTTTTAATTGTAGTTAATTTTAAGCAGTTTTTTTTGGAGTTCATTTGTTAGTTTCATGGTACTTTAAGGAAAATTGTGGCTTTCTCTTTTTTTTTTTTTTTTTTAGCAGAATGTGACACATTTTGTCCATGTCCATGTCTGAGTGTATGTATCATGAATACATTTAACATCATATTCTGGACAAGTTTTCATGGGTTTTCTGTTTTTTGTTTTTTGTTGGGGTTTTTTTGCAGCATCAAACCCTTCACCCAGCAAGCTTACCCCATCCAGCCTGCAGTCACAACAGCAATTTCAAGTGAGGGACACTCACACAACACACTTGAAGGAATATTTTGGTCAATAAGGTGGAACACTATGTCGAGCTCATCCCTTGTTCGACTGTATATATGCCACAGTCGACCCCCGCTATTCGCAGGGTTGTTAGACTGGACAACAATTCGCACTCACAGTCACACCTATGTACAACCAACCATGCATTAAAAAAAAAAAATATATAATTACAAATCAAACTATTCCCCCTCAATATAGTTTAAATGTTAACTTGGATGACAAGTTGGCCTGGTCTGTAGCATGCCGTGGCTTTTATTTTACAGTGCGATAAAGTTGATTTCAAGTCAAATGTGTGTTTTATATAATATAATAAAAATATATTTCTAAATGTTTACTTTTATTTCAGTTACCTCTATCTTTTACTTTTGCATTAAAGTCCGCATTTTCAAAGCATGAACTCAATGTCGACAATTCTCATGGTTGTGTTCGGTCTGATTGTAGGCTACGAGCCCACAGCCGCTTCGGCTCCGACGGCCCCAGCATGGCAGGGCCGCTCTATCGGAACAACCAAATTGCGACTGGTGGAGTTTTCCGCCTTCCTGGAGCAACAGAGAGACCCAGACTCGGTAAGAAGAACATGAAATATACAACATAAAATATCATCATCTCCTCTTATTGCCGTTTGCTTCTTTGTAAACACACTGGGACTTTTTTCAAGAAAGTCAGCTCGTGTCCAGAAAAAGAGGAAAGAACTTCTATTCGTAATTGTCCTTTTTATTCATCAGCGGTCTGCCAATTTTTTTTTTTTTTTGCATATTTTCACACACACTGAATCACCTCATATTTTTATTCAAGAGAAAGAAAGCAATGTTTGCAGGTTGTTGCTTTTTTTCTGCATTTGCAACCACTCGCAACCTGTCTGTCACAAGTCTTACGCTCCTTTTGAGATGTGGCATTTGCCCTGACGGCAACGCAGTGGAAAAGTTGCTCCACACACAATTTGCTTTTTAATGGACGTGTTAATTCTCATTCATGTAAATGATTTGCTGCCACTCATTGATTTACATATTTATTTTTAAACAAAGGACGTGCCCACCCATTCGAGGATTTTACTTGCTCTAACAAGTATTTTGCTGTCAACTTTATTCGTGCTTTTAATTTCACACAGTCACTCGAGATTTGCTGAATGTACTCGCTCCACTTGTAAAATCTCTATCTGTACCTTTGAATGAGATCAAGCTAAAGCTTCTATTCCTTCTTTCTAATATTCAGATTTTTGGGATTACAGTATTATTATTATTATTATTATTATTATTATTATTATTGTTATTATGACAATCATGGTTTTCAATCAAGTACTCTTCTCTTTGTAGTCATAAATCTGAGGGCTTTGCACAACTGACTGAACTGAATAGATCCTCATTGAGAACCAGTTTGTTTTGCGGCAAATTTGCAATTGACTACTGTCCATCTTTTATTTATCCTTTCAGTACAACAAGCACCTCTTTGTGCATATCGGACAGACAAATCATTCCTACAGCGACGCCCTGCTGGAGTCTGTGGACATTCGTCAGATTTATGACAAATTTCCTGAAAAGAAGGGAGGACTGAAGGAGCTGTATGGAAAGGGCCCCCAAAATTCCTTCTTCCTTATCAAGTTTTGGGTGAGTGAGATTCATCTCCTTCCTGCATTCTCGCGCACGTTGAGCATGCGTGCCATTGCAATAATTCCAATCAGATCATGTTTTTGTAGACGATGCAGTTGGATTGCCATGCGCTCCTGGCTGACAGGAACCGTTGGTTGTCTCGATTAAAAAGACGCTACAATACAGTACAATGAGTACCATACGTAGCGTAGACAGTAACTATTTTTTGACTATTTTGCTGGCAATCACTAAGCTTTTTTTTGTGTGTGTGTATAATGGAAGATAGGTTTGAAGTAGACGGACGGCAAATATGCGGCGTTAGCTTTATATCAGCAAAGAATGTGATGTTGGACGTGTTCTTTTTGCTTTTGCCTTCCAAGAATACCCTTTCAATTTTTTTGCTTGTACACTGTCACCAAATTGGTATCTCTTATCCTCTTTGAGTGGCTCTAATTGTCAGTTTTCAGTTAAGAAAAAGTTCACCCAGAGCATTAAGCTAGGCACATTTTTAATGAGCTCTGCATCACATCTTTCTTTCTAAAGACTAGAATGCTCATTTTGTTTCCAAGCTTTAAATAGCTGCGTGTCCGTCATGAAGAACCGCACTGTTTCATTTTGAAATACGGCAACTATAATGACACGCCACACCTCCGAATTTGATGCATTCGACGCCTGCAACTGCAATGAGGAGCGCATTTCTTTAGTGTCAATCAAAACCTTGTAACCAATTCTTCATAAATCCCCCCCACCCCCCCACCCCCACCCCATACTGGGGGTTGCAGCCAGTGGGTGTCAGTCGTCTACTTTGAGGAGATTGCGCTCTTATTGTTTACAGAATGCATTAGGCTATATTTGGATGGGCATAGCAGGAGAGCTTTTGATCAAAGCTCTCGCTAATTCAGTCTAATATCTCCAAACAATGGCATGACCTGGTTGCTCCGCATAATGGCTCTTTAAACGTTGCGTGTATTCCCCCCCCGATGCAAAATGCTAACTAGCGGCTGCCAACAAAGTAGAGACCGTGTACTTGGACCAAGTCCCCTCACATTCCTTTTGAAGTGACCGGCCAATCTAAATTTCGAATGAAAGGCAGGATCTGCACAATAATGACTGTATAACTGCTCCGCTTAATGAAGGAGGAGAATGTTGGAGGCGGACGTCTCCGCTCTTTGTGGCCGTAATTAACAGGATGTGCGGGGTGTAGAGACAGGCCACCCTTTGGAAACATGGATGCTCCATCTTCGAAATCACTCTTTTAATGTTGCTTGATCCTCTTCAGTATTTCCACTTTGGACATCCTGGGCCTGCTTTCATATGAAGCGTATATTCATGATTCGATTGTCAAAAGAAGCCGAATATCGATCGGGGGTGCTTCATAGCGCTTCTATGGCTGTCTTACCTGGCCCTGTCCTCTCCTACGTTATGAACCTGGGTCAATATCGCTTTAAAGTGCCATTGGTGTCCTCAACAAGCTCAGTCAGTCATCATGGAAATGCGGCAGAATAATGAAACGTTGAGGTCTTATTAAAAGTTGCTAAACATTTGCACACAGGCCAGTACAATAAAAAAAAGGGTGTCAGAATGGGTTTCCTTCATTTTGTCCCGTCCATTGGATGCATGTGATTTGTGGCGTGTACCACTCGCCGCTCTGCAGCCTGCGGTGAGGCCTTTTCATCAACCCTCTGATATTTTCATGGCAGCCAGCATTTTGTTTTGCTTCAGTGGAGGTTGAAAAGGCACAGGGTTGCGGGAGAAATGTTGACACGTTTCCATCCGATTATGCATGTCATTGGATGTGGTCAAATTTGACATGTCCGCTCATGTCATCGTGAAATGTCAGCTGATATATATATTTTTTAAACGAACGTTTTCTCAACCCAGTGCAGTCAGTTTGCGAACGGAATCATGTTGCAAAGTGAAGGTCCATCCTGTGCTCATCAAACGCCAAGACCAAAAATGTGCCCCGTCCGCAACGTCAGGCATTTTGCAATGATGCCTCTCTCCTTTCAGTTTATTTCGATTTAAAGTGAGTGAGCTTGACCCAATATGCATTTCTGTCACCATAACATCTACCGAACACAACAAAAGTTCAGCGAAAAAGCTCAACTTTTTGAGGAGGTCACATTGGGGAAGTTTCTTTTTCCAGCATCCCGAGAGAGGTTCTGATCACATGCACAGACCTCGTTTTACTCTCATTTCAACACACGGCCGCTAAATTACCATCAGACCAAAAGCAGCTCTTCAAATGATCATTTTGCGTGGACACATTTTTCCTGAACCGGACCAAAACCTGTCAAGTGTGAGAATGGCCTTAAACCCAGCGCGGCCCTGCTAATTCCCCGTATTGATCTTTTGTGCGCAAATGACGCCACCGACTTACTGCGCTTTTCAGGCCGACCTAAATTGCAACATCCAGGACGAGAACGGCTCTTTCTACGGTGTCACCAGCCAGTACGAAAGCTCAGAGAACATGACCATCACATGCTCCACGAAAGTCTGCTCCTTTGGCAAGCAGGTGGTCGAGAAAGTGGAGGTAAGATAAAAAAGCGGCTGTTGCCATGCTTCGGCGGCGTCCTATGTGGAGTGGATGATTTTGCCGCGTTTCTCTTTTTCATTCAGACCGAATATGCGCGCTTTGAGAACGGACGCTTCGTCTACAGGATAAGCCGATCTCCCATGTGTGAATACATGATCAACTTCATCCATAAGCTAAAGCACCTGCCTGAGAAGTACATGATGAACAGTGTGCTGGAGAATTTTACGATCTTACTGGTAAGGGAAAGACCCTCTTCGTATTCTGGCCATGTGCATTGAATGTCAATTGTGATGAATTCCTCTGCTTGATCATCCATTCTTCTCATTCCAAAAGGGATGGAACCGTGAGAGGCTTGACTTTATCTGCAGAATAAGCCCCCGATAACCAGCGCAGTGTTTTCCGAACTTTCATTGAGCCGAGGCACATCATTTACATTTGGAAAATCGTTGAATCTACTCACAAATTCCCAGTGTGAAATCCGAACCCGTTGAACAACAACTGGATTCACAGGTTAATGCTGGCTTCTGCCATCGAGTGCCGGAGCATATCGAGACAGATGACCGTTCACACCCATATTCACACTGTCACTTAGTGGGAACCCATCCCACGCTACCCGCACACAAGGCAGGCGAGTGCGCCGCTACACTATCAGTGACTACAATAAAGGTCTTTATTGGAAAAAAAATATGTATATGCTTTTAAGTTTTGACCTATAAAAGCTTGCACAATATGGATTTTAGCATGTGGTGAAATTTCTAACTATGTCGTTTCACCTGTTAATGAACCAAACCCTTCATTCATAAATACTATGAAATATATTACGAGATGACATATTAGATTATAGTTGTTAAATGACTATTATTACGAAGAATCGCTGAGAAAAAAATAAACAAGGGCACATTTAGAATCAGTGCAAAAAAATAATCGGGAAAAGTTGACTTGCATCTCTGATTAAAAAGGGTCATAAAAATGTGTTGACCAGTGTAATTTTCAGATCAATTAAGTGAAATGGCCTCATTTCCAGGCCGAATGCTTGAGAACGACGAATCGGACAATCACCCAAGGCCACTTCTGACCATGTGTTTGTGTGCGTTTGTACACCGTACATGCGTCCGTCCACACACGGCGAGGTCGTAAACAAGACAAATAAAGAGTGACAGTGTGAAATTAAAAATACCAAGAAATCGATGACAGCAAATCCCTTTAAGCATCGACACCTCAAGGACAATGGGTCCTTCCGTCAACAGCTTTTTGTCAACAAATTTGCTCGAAAACACTACTGGACCTTTTTTTTCCAACTGTAGCATTTGCCAACAACACAGTTGGGCACTTTTGAAACATTTGTGGATTTATCTATTTGCAATAATGCATTGCCTTCCCTTCCTGTTGCAGTGCCGTTTTGTATCCTGCTTGAGGATTGCAACGAACATACGCTTTTGGAATTATGGTCAAAAAGTTCAATTTAGGTTTAGCGGGTGGGGGGGAAGCACCCCCAAAAAAATAAAAGGCCAGCTGAAAATGGCCCTCGTCCTGTGCTGTAGTTTGCTCGATGGTTTCCGCGGTTTCACGTGGTCAGCTCTGCTGTGATGCGGAACACCAGCCGGCCCACACCAGGACGCGCTGATACAATGGAATGTGGCAATAGAGACAAGCACCCTTATTCACACCTTGAGCCAATTTTATGTCTTGAAACGTGTGTGCGTTTTGCAGGTGGTGACCAACCGGGATACGCAGGAGACACTGCTTTGTATGGCGTGTGTGTTTGAGGTGTCCAACAGCGAGCACGGCGCCCAGCATCATATCTACAGACTGGTAAAAGAATGAATCAGCCCCTGGCCTTTTCTGACACACACACACACACACACACACACACACACACACACACACACACACACACACACACACGCACACACACACACACACACACACACTGACCTCCAGACAAGCGGCAGTGCCTCTCGCTGAAAGTCCCACCGACAACACTTAGCGCTCATTACCTGAAGCCTCTTCTCATCGTCGTGAGTTGCGGTACAGGGCGTGTTCTTTTCCTTTGAAAATCTCTTTGAGAGCTCAACCGTGGCGTCGACGTCTGCAGTTTAACTACTTGGTTTTGGTCAGTGGCATTGTGTGGTTTTTTTTCATGTGTATAATATGCTACTGGCCTTTTTGTGCCGGTGGCCAGATGTGGTCTGCGTCATGTTTGAGTGTGTTGAGCATACTTGTTTGATGTACAAGACCTGCAGCCCGATCGAGCGCCAAAGAAACCAACTTGACACTAAATATGCTACTAAGTGACCACTTTCTCTTTTCACCAACCAGCAGTGAAGAATTGTCCCCCGTTGAAGCACAACAAACGAGACACTACACTCACTCCGCTGCCTTTTCCCGTGGCTTTAGGAAAGCATTCCAAGCTCCTCAGCGTTTGCCGTTCCTGTCAGGTTGAAGCACTACAAGACTTACGCTGACTCATCCAAAAGCACTTTGTTTCCTCTGTTCTTGAGTCATCACAACACTAGCAAATCGTCACGTATCATGTCATGACAGCAAGCCGCATTTACCTTGTGGCGTCCCCCGAGATGAGGAGCATTCCCGGCATGATCTGAGTCAGAGCGTCGCTGCCCCGACATTGCGCGCCCGTTATCGTGGCCTATGCCATCCCCAAGCCTTAAACACGCGACATCTGTGCGATCTCCAAGAGACGCGACGAAAACTGTGATCCTCGTAAAGACGCCGGCCTGTCGGAGTCGCGGTGCGAGTGTCCTGATACGGTCTGCCTAAGTGTGAAGAGTACAGTGCCTTAGCGTATTTAGTCCAACTTTATCCAGCATTCTGATTTGACGTCAGGCTGATCCGGGGCAAAATCATCAAGCAGTACACTCCGCTATTTTGAGATTCACCACGAAAAAAATGCCTCAGATGATGCTAAAGTTGTATTTTCCTCTGTAAAAGTCCTACTCTCTAAATGTCACCTTTTTTTCTAAGAAGTCTGATTGACTTGCCGTATGGTAAAGGCATAAGACCCCCCCCAAAAAAAAATCTAACAAACAACAAAACACATACACACACATTCTCTTGCTCTCTTATTGTGTTGTGCGTAGTAGCAAAAAGTGCCTTTGCTTTACAATTTCCAATTCAAACTGACACAAAAAGAAACTGTGGCTTGACCAAAAATGAGATCGACCCGAGTACCGAATTGCCTTTTTCTTAAAGCAGGGATGGGGAACACAGCGTTTCATCTGGCCCGCATGTCATTCATAAAAACAAATACAACAAAAAACATTTCCACATAATGCTCAAAATGGATTCTGAACAAAACCGCACATGCGACAATTGCTTTGCTCCCGTGTTTCATGAGCTGAACTCAAAAGAGCCATGAGTTTTTTTGAACACCAAACGCCATTTCTCTCAAATGTTCAAAAAAATCTGCCGCTCATCTCAAATCAGTGCCTTGACATGCCACACCTGTGAAATTAATGAATTGGTCCGGCAAAGGAGAGATGCTCACAAAAATAGATTGAGTCACGTTTCTGGGCAATATTTGAGAGAAATAGGCCTTTTGCATCCAGGCGAAAAAGCTGGAAAAGCTCCTGGAAAAAAAATGGGTGCAAAAACAAAAGTGTGGCATTTGCGCACAGAAATAAGAATAAATTACATCACATTTTTTCATTAGAAAAAAAAAAAAGAGCATGTCCCTCAGAGGACTTGTACTCAAAAAAGGTTCCTCATCCTCGTCATCCTGTTCACTAGTCGATGGTTCGCTCATATTTGGATTTTACGCAGCTACATGACTTTTTCACACAACAGTAAATGCTATTCAGTAGGCATAGGCAGAACCTTATTCTGTGTAAAAAAAAAAAAAATCCTTATCAGTTGGGCCGTGTGCTGCAGTACACTTGCGGGTTCAAGTGTTTTGCCCTAAAAACAAGTTTCTGAATCTTGTTTCCCTGCAAAAACCAGGCTGTTCTTTTTTTTTTTTCTTCTTTTCAACAAAACAAAAAAAAAGTTTTAAAGAGTGGACAAGAGCCACATGTGTCTACACTGTTTCTTAAAGAGAAAATGGTCTGTGGTGGATGCACGAAAAAAAAAAGTGTACAATCAGTGTTTTGCCACCACAGTCTTAAGAACACTGTGCTCTTCTATGAGACGTATCTGTTCATGTATTGATCTGTACCCGTTTTCTTCTCGTACTTGTATGCAGTCGTACGGTTGCGTGTTGACATGGTCTGTGTATTGAGATGCTCATTGTTTTACCGCTGGTACAATACATGTTGACGTGTGGATTCAGCGCTGCAACGACAGGATCGATGCCTTCCGAGGCGTCAATGTTTGCACCCCCCTTTTGTCATAGAAAACTGACGTTTTAAAAGCATGGAAAAATAAATCGACAGCTAACACGTTTGACTCGGGGCTGCAAGAGCATCGGCAGTATTTTGTTATTTGTATTTTTTGGCAAAGGAATAAGGTACTGGTACCGTTCTGTTTTTTCTGATCATTTTCAAGTTGTGGCTTTAACGTGATTTGACTTCACATCGCTCACACACACTTTATGTTTTGTGTGCACCCTTGTTCATGTAAAAAGGTGCTTTGTACAAAAAAAACAAAAGATATCCTAGCGTTTCTTGGTACAGGTGTGTCATAACTTTTCATATCTATGAGACTACGACAGTAACGTGTTGGAGAAAGCAAGAGAAAAACAGGCTCTACTATGTTTGTATGTTTTGCATAATGATGATGGTCTTGTCTTTGCTGTAACATTATGATGCCTTCTTGATAATACTCAATATTTTGTAGCTTTCTAGATCATTTTTATGTATGCAATATTGCAGCTAAATAAAACATCGAACTCCTGTTTTAGTTGTGTTCTACTACTTGTTTGTGTGTGCTTGTGTGTGTGAGAGAGAGCAAGTTTTCAATTTCGATTATAATATGTTTTACCAAAACTCAACGGTAGATGTCACTAAATGCTTGAACAACCGGTCTTTACCTTCACCGAAAAAGATGTAGTAACATCTTCTAACGTTAGAGGGAGACATTTATGTGACATAGACATTTTATGCATCCTACGAGGTGAAATTAAATTAGATTTTTTTGAAGGCAAGATATGGTTTACATCAGAAAAAAAATACACTAAAATATAGTGGTTGCTCAAGTGTGCACACCCTCCTAACTGGGTATGTGGCCGTGTTCATAATTAAGCAATTGCACTGAAACTCAGTACACACCTGCCACCATTGCATGTGCTTCTAGAAATTTTCTGCTCCATCGGAGGGATCTCATTCTTTTGATGTACCTGTTAGGAGAAGAGTACAAAAGTATTTCGGTGACATTGACAGTCATCATCACAACAACGACATTACCAACAAAAGGTCATCCCTCCAAATTTGACTAGAAAACTGATCGGGGAGACTGGCAAGATGGGGAAAGCAACAATGAATGAGCTGTGGTAATTCCGGGCAAGTATTGTTTTGTTTTGTACGTGTGACAGCAATTTTTTTGTGTCTTCTCATGTTTAGCCTATGTGGTCAGGTAGCAAGACGGAAGCTTATATTATGAAGAAACCTCAAGGGGAAAATGTGCTACGGTCCGTTGAAACCAATTGAACTTTTTGGGCCACAATTGCAAGTTATGTCCGGCGCAAACACAACACTGTTAATCACCGAAAGAACATCACACTTTCAGTGAAGCATCATGCTCTGTTACTGTTTTTCTCCAGATGGAACTTCGTCAAGATGGGTGAAATTATGAACAGTTCAGAATGCTCGTCACCACAGCTCCCTTTAACACAACCACTGTACACTGCACTTAAATTCATTCACACAAATTCACTGGCCTACGTTTACAAAACACACAAGATTATATTGAAGTGCATTTATTATTTGGTTATTTTTTAAACATTATACGCACGCCATTATTTTATATCCATCTAAATTAGGGAAAGGTGGCACGGTGATTGGGTAGTTAGCACGTCCGCCTCACAGTGTAGAGGTGCAGGTCTCCATTCCAGGTCCGGGTTTCCTGTGTGGAGTTTTTATGTTCTCCCCATGCCTGCTTGGGTTTTCTCCGGGTACTCCGGCTTCCTCCCACATTCCAAGAACATGCATGGCAAGTTAATGGAACATTCCAAATTGTCCCTTGGCATGATTGTGAGCATGGATGGTTGTTTGTCTATGTATGCCCTGCAATTGGCTGGCAACGTGTTCAGGGTGTCCCCTGCCTCCTGCCCTTCCAGCACGCTTGCGACCCTCGTGAAGATAAGCGGGTAAGAAAATGGATGGTTTTTGTGAAAAAAGAAAAATGCTCAAAATGAGCTGGATTGCTGCTCAGCAGTTTTGAGAGACATTTGCACTATGGAAAAAAAAGTACAGTTTATGGTTATTTTGCTGTTGACTTCCAAACACTTTGTTGTTGAATTGTGAATCTTTTATACATGCCTCGAAAAATGTGTCCTCCAACCACTTTTCCTTACGAGGGTGCAGATGTGCTGGAACCTATCCCAGCTGTGATGCAGAGTACACCCTGAACTGGTCGGCAGTTATTTCTAAATCCTGAAGAAATAATGTGGCCAGTAAATTTTGAAGACCAAACAAATCGGGACTGCGTGTGACGTCGTCGGGTCTGCCCCACATTCCCCAAGGTTAATAGATCTGGTGGCAGTCACGTGATCCGGCTCACTCTAGTTGTTGGCACTTTGTGTCTCATCAGCAACTCCTTCAAAGACTGAATTGACGACTGATCGGACCCAAAGCGCAGAGTGGGTGTATAAAGATTTAAAATAGAAATAAATACAAGAATAATGGATTCCGTGGAGGGGAGGATCTCGGTGTGGGTGCGCGCGGAGGAGAAGCTCGCCTTCGGCTTGTCGAAACGCACAACCTGCGCCGATGTGGTCAAAGCGCTCCTGAAGGATTTAAAACAACCCGAACCGCTGCTGCCGCATCGCTACAGCATTGCGGAGAAATGGAGGGGCCTCCAGAGGGTTCTACCCGACCGGACCAGGATTTGGCGCCTTTGGGTGGCGTGGGGAGAGGAGCGGGACCGGGTGAGGTTCGTATTAGTGGGCTGCAGCGAGGCGGCCCGGAGCGCAGAGGCGCGCGTGGTGCTGCTCGGCAAACACAACCTTGTGTCCAAATGGACTCCGGGCTCTTACTTGACGGAGGTCCCGATGGACAAGCAGCGTCGGATCGTCAGGAAAGCTTTCAAAAAGTTGGAGAAGATGCAGAGGAAACAGCCTTCCTCTTCTGGCGCGGGCAAGTTGCAGGCTTTGGCGCGTCTCGTCGTCTCCCAGGACCGCACCATCCGCCTGCAGGCTCTCAGGATTCAGCAACTGGATGCTGAGATCGAAAGGCGAGAGGCGGAAGTGCATTTGGACCGAACCCGAACCCACGGCGTCGATTATGTGCAGAACACTTATTTATTCGAGCGTGCAGCAGAGGATGTTTCCAATCAGTGCTCTTTGGAAGTCTTGCTTCACCTGTGTGACGTCATGGTAAGGCTTTAGATAGATAGAAAGAAATTGTCTTTTTTAATGAGGAAAAATGGAACTCTTTTAAATTTGTACTTTATGTAAATACAGGTATAGAATGACATATTTAAATAGAATGTAAAGGAATGAAAGTTCTTTTTTTTCCGTCACTTCAGTGGACATTGTGCCTTGTGGTGCACATACCTTGGCCACCTGGCGGCAGTTTAATCCAGACATAATGATATCATGTAGATGGCTGAAGAGCTCAACATCTTCAGTAATATTCTTTCTTCACAGATGATAAAGAATATATACCTGTGAATATTATATCCATCTATGTGTTGCTCCATCGTTTGTGTTCAAATGGCCATTGTGTAAACTTGTAAAGGGTTATATCACTGCATCACAGATGCCATTCGTTAGCCCATCTATGGTATTTCCTATTATTGTTAGCATTAAGCTTACTACGGATTTTCAGGGAAAGCTATGCGGTTGTTTTAAATGGACATGGTGTAATTCTCTTTGTTTTATGTTTCCTTTGTAAGAGCGTATAAATATATGCTGCCTGTAAATGAATAATTTGTATCCAGCTTTTCTAGATCTAAAAAGATGCAACTACTATTTACAACTAAAATAGTGTCTCTCCATCATATCCCGCTAAATGAAGGTAGTTCAGCTTGAGAAGCAAATATGCTGTGTAACGGTCCAATTTTAGAACTTTACACTCATGATGTTAAAGTATCTACTTCGCTTACTACAAGATTGCTCCAATTTTTGGTTCTAAAAGTGGAGATGTGCTTACACTGCTACTCAGTGGTGAAGATCTCGCATTTTGGGAAGGACTACAAAAAGCACTTGTATGATCCACACGTGCTCGCATTCATTTTAAATCAGGTTGTCACAAGGGTTGTCGCCATCAGATCACGGTGATCGGAAATCCGGACCGTGATTTTCAGCTGATTGGGGCAAAAAGATTGCTTGTGTTACTTTCCTGGATTCATTAATTATAACTCAGTGACTAAACAACCGAAAGACACACACACACACACACACACACACACACACACACACACACACACACACACACACACACACACACACACACACACACACAAGAACCTCTGCCTGTCCACTGCGGAAGGTAACTCATATTTGGAGCAACAAGGAGACACAAACGGTGTGAAAACATTCATTTGGCTGCACGCTCTTTTTTTTTCTTAATGTATTGCCAAGGTAGTAGATTGAGACTCAGTATCGGCAGATTATAAGACTCGGACTTGGATACCAAATAAGTAGGATCGGAACATCACTAGCTAACGGCAAAAGTCAGAAATGAAATCTTTTTGGGGCAATGAAGTCATCTTGTTTGGAAAGGAAAAGAAAGTGCTTAAGGAAAAAAAAAATGAAGAGGCCCTATGATTGGTGGTTTGTTTTTAACATGTTTAATGAATCCAACGTGGAAGTGAGATTTTTCTATCTGCGTCCCTTGGAGGAAAAAGTTTGCACAGCCTTGCTTTAGATGAATGACACAGCAGTTTCTCACTTGTTTCAGTGTCAGGAGGAGCTGCGGGAGCAGGAAGCGCTCACCGACATGTTGACCGCGCAGAAGGAGGACAAGTTCAACCGCCACTGGATGCGGAGGAGGCGAGTAGAGGACGAGGAGGAGGAGACCTCAGCATCCTTCATCGCGGCAGGAGACGAGATGCTTTTGAAGGAGCGGCTGAGGAGATTGCTGGATGTGATTTTGTTTGTGGGCCTGCGCCTGCGCTCGGATTTGGAGGCTATTAGGGGCGATTTGGAGCTGAGCCGGCAGATTTGCAGCAGTCGTGAGGAGGAGATGAAGGATTTGCTGGAGAAAATCAACTCTTTGGGATCGGAGGA